CTGGCACATTGCCTCATCTTTCCATTACCTCATTTCAACTTCTGCCCAAATACATCCATGCAAAGCAACAGCCACGCACAGGGGCTGGTCTCAGGGAAGGACCCTTCTCTGCTCCCCTCAGCAGAATGTTTTTTTAGGGATGGGTTGGAAGAGAGGAGATGTGAGCAGGGAGGGAGGGAAAAGGCCCTCCTGGGTGTTCATCTCCACCGTGACACTTAATCTCTCTTGCCTGTGCGCCCAACTCAAAAATCACTTCATCCTTTGCAATGAGGAAACCAACTCCTCTCTGCTCAGTCCATCAGGATCCTGCCTCTGCTGTAGCTTAGGCCTGCTGGAGACCCAAATGATTAAATAGAGCCTCAGGGGACCTGATCACACTGAGAGGTTTTGTGCAGGGAGTTAGTGACAGAGCTAGGAGGCAAACCAAGATGCCAGCCCCAGGCCTCAGCCTGGGTAGCCAGCCACACTGAGCTGCTGCCTTCTTGCTGTGTCCAGAGGTTTCGCACAGAAAGAGGAAAGAACCTCCCGCTCTGTCCGATTTGGGTCAGCAGATGGGCATGGTTAGGCACAACGCTGCCTGTGTGGCTGCTGTGTGCTTGGGAAAGCCTGCAGGTGAAGGTGAGGTGCACCACAGGACCCCCTACCTCAGCTTATTGCTGAAGTAACACATATTTACAGGAGATACATGTTTACCTTGAAACAACTAATTTTACCTGGTCAGGTCTCCCATGGACGAGTCATTTCAGAAGAAGCGCACAGCTACACTGGTGTTTGCAGGATCAGGGCCTTATTAAACCACATGGCTTGATACGCATACAAAACATGCCTTGCAGGCCTGAAGACACCAGAGCCAGATTACTGTAGCTGCGCCAACTGAAATGTCCGAGTGACTCATAAACGGCCAGATAAGTGATGAGCAGACGGATGGAGGCTCAAAGAGCTAATGAAGCTCTCAACCACAGAACTGTGGGTCTGTTGGTGCAGAGCAGATCTCCAAACAGAGCATTTAAAGGTGTACAGCATGAGCTATGAGATACGTTTTGTACTTGGAGTTAAAGCGCTTGGTCAATATATGTATGCACTAAGCAATTAACGAGTGAAAAGCATGAAAAGACACAAACAGAAAAAGGTGACAGGACAGAAAATAATGTGTGAGATAGTGGATGATCCCCATAGCAGGAACTGATTAAATGTGTGTAAATGGAAACTGGCCCTTGTAGTTCAGGCTGCTGCAATAAAATAAAGAAGGTGGAAGATGATAATATCCCAAACCTTTGTAATTCCTGCATTTATCCTGTGGGAAAGCTTTAAACTTAACACTGTGGCTTAATGATCTCTTTTCAGCCCTGTTTTGGCTTTTAAAAGAGGTGCTGTCAGGCTAATCCTGTTATGCTTATCCTTAGCATATTAACATGAAAGAGGCAAGTGAAACACAAGGCTGAGTGGGGTCCCTTTGCCTGCCTGCACAGCTTTGTGGGACCATGGCTGCTTTTCAGAGCAGCAGTTTTTCTTGCCTTGCCCCTAGATCTGATTGTACACACAGCTGTACTGTTCCATATGCCAGGATAAGGCTTCCCAGGCTATAGGAAGAGTAGCTTCTTGTCATATGGTTCCAAAAATACCTTACAGATTATGTGCAAAACGTCACCTGTTCACTAAGAGACTGCAGCCAATAGGCACAGGAACAAGCCCCCAGGCAGAGTCTATTTTGTGTCCTCCCTTATCTCAGGCCACCTCAGGATATACCCATTGTTTGGGGGTTTTTATGCTGCAGATTCCAGCAGCAAAGGGTGGCTGCTCCTAGGGCTTCCATTCAGAGGCTGGAGAGATTCTGGCAAAAAAGGGGAATGTAGTAAAGTTAAGAATATTATTATGGAAAGTCTGGTCTCGTTCACGTCTGGTATCAGACAACTTTAAAAACTAACAACATGCCCCTCTAGACCGTGCCTGGATCTTCCAATGGGACATTGAAATATTGTGCAGAGAGACAACGAAAGACCATCTAGCAATAAAATCCACCCTGGTGCTTACTGTTGTCCCAGATGCAACCTGCTCAAACTCCATGTCACTTTGTCATGGTTGAAACAAGAGTCCATCCTGTTCCTGATAAAAAAAAAATAAAAATGTTCTGTTAAAAAAAAAAAAAAATCAGTTCTGTAATGCACAAACTTTCAGCTGGAGCCATTCCAGGGCACAAGGATTAAAAACAACCAAATTCCTAACTCGATTGAAATGGTTGCATGGGACCTTATTAACATAAATGTTTAGTTCAACAAAAACAAGCACAAGGTGAGAGCATGCCCCCTCTGAAAGCACTACAGACACTGGTAGCATCTCCTCTTTTTCTCCTCCCTGTTCTGCCTTCCATGGTCAGCTGGACTCTGGCTGCTTGAAAGAGGTAAAGAAGGTAAGACTGGAGATGAATTGCTCCTGTGCTGCCTCCAAGACGTGAGTTCCTCCTGATCAACTCTCTTCCTCCCTACTTATAAATCTCCTACTGGTACCACCATGGGGGACAGGCTTCTCAGCAATTCCTGAGCAGCAAGAAGGGGAGGTCATGCCATAACCAGCAACTGAAGAAGAGAGGTTGAATCTCCTGCAGTGCCTGGGGAAAAAAAATCTCTCCACACAACCGTTTGTAAGACATCATTTCTTTATTGCCCGTACTCTGCTTGCACACTAAGAAAACATGCTTAAGGTGGTACATTTAAAAAACCCCATGTGGTAGTCCTTGCCAATGCAATGACAGCACTGATGACAAAGGTAATACATAGGCTGGCCCATATTTGTGTGTCAGCTGTATGTCACACCTTTGTCTTTCATGTGTTTCTGTATGTTGTGTGGGAGATGTGTGTTCAGACCATGTTAACAGACTGGGTACTGTGCTCTTCCTTCTGCAGCAACTTCCCAAATCCTGCTGCTGCAGGTAGATGAATGTTAGCATTACTGATGTGCCCTGACCAAAGATGCCATTTCTCAGTTAGTGCCACTCCTTATTAACCTGCAACTGGAGCATGATGCAGAGGAATCATTGACAGAAGCTCCTCCAACTCAGGTAGTGGGTTTAACCTATTCAGCAGGTGATAACGGCTCTGTTCCTTTACACCCACATTGGCTAGAGGGCCAGAAAGTCATGTCTATTTTCAGATTACAGGTGTTTTCTGAAAACAGAGAGGACTTCCCTACCCAAACATCATTTCTTGCAAATAGAAGCAATTCCACTCGCAGTACAGTTGCCCTGGTTCCTTCTGGACCTCTTCTACCTTTCTGATTCTCAGTTTCTGAAAGGCGTTACTGTAGTTAAACACAGCATGAAACACAGCCAGCTGGCAGTAAGAGCTGAGCAGGAGCCTGTTACTTTTAGCTATTCCTCTTAGTCAGGAGTCCTGCTCTTCTGGAGAAGGACTTCCTCTTTCCTATCACGAATAATGGGCACTGGGAGGAACCATGGAAATTCTTCGTAGCACTGATGAGCTGTAGGTGACTCAGAGTACTTTTCCTGCATGGGATATTCCCAGAGAAATCTGTGCGATAAACAAACATTCAAAGTAATCACCTTATCCCAAGAGAGGAAAGATGGTGGATAAATATAGGCCTTCCTTATGCTGCAAGGTTGGGGGACTGTGTGACAGCTGCAGTATCACATCTTGCACCTAGAACGTCAGGCTCAAAGAAGAAAGGCAAGAGGGCATTATGAAAAAGCTCACTTAATCCCACAAAGCTTTAAGAGCAACTGAACTACAGAACAGAAAGCAGCACACCCAGAGAACACCAGGGGCTTCATGTCCAGGCAACGCAGCAGCTATGCTGAGAGGTGCACCTTTGGGGCCAGTTCCTACCTCAGCCTGCGCCTCCCCTCACCCTGCTTTGCCCCACTCCTTAGTGACAAGAAGGCCCCTTCCCAACAGGAATAGGTTGTCCTGCTCTTTCTCAGGCATTTCACCAGGAAAGCGAGGTTATTGCACAAGTTTACTTCAAGAGAAAAAGCTTCGCTAGATACGTTTCACACAGGCAGCTAACTGCCTTGTGCTTTCAACCCAGATACAGTTGAAAGCACTGTGGTCAAGGGTGGGATCTTGCAGGACCACAGATAAGTCAGTTCCTAATTGCTGGAGGTTTCTTCAGGAAATTATAAGAGAATGGGAGGAAACTGGCAGCATTAAGCCTTGAAACAGGCTGTATATGGCCCCTCCCCAGTATGTATGGCACAGCTCCTGCAACAGGTTATGAATCAGCAGCACGTGCCAGTGCCTGCGAGTCCCATGGCAACTGCTGTGTGTTCTGTAAACAGTAAGAGAGTGGCAGTGACATTCCATTAGGGTAACAAAGTGAAGAAAACCTTCAGGCTGACTTACTTATCAGTTCATACCATATCCACATATGGAATGAGTTAACTACAATATTGGCCAGTCAAACCAAATTTTGCAGTAAATACGGTGGCTGATCCAGGTCTTACAGGAGCAGATGGAGGTTTTCCTGCTTACCACAGCAGGCTTTCAGCTGGGCTCTGCTGTTAGAGGACCAAGAGGAGATGCTGCTCTTTGAGATGATGGCTCACTACCTAGAGCTAGACCAAATTTAAAGTAATTTCTTTACTCTTACACTAAAATTCTATTTAACATAGCATCTACTGTGTCCTCCACTCTTTGCTGCTAGGCCATTCCTTTGCCAGAAAGAAAAGGAACAAGATATCCTTTTACAAGAAAGTGGCCTCTCCAGACAGAAGGCCCAGTTTGTGCTATTAGCCAAGACCAGCCGAATTCCCTCAAAGAAGCAGGGGCCTCCAGAGACCAGGGTTTCATGCAGAGCTGGGAAATACAACAGTGCAGATCATATGCACATTTTGACCTGATTTTGTGCCTTGAAATTCCCACATGGGGAAAAGCTGCAGCTTCCCCAAGTCTCTGCAGAGCTGATACCATGCAACTTGGCTTGCTTGAGAGGAATCCTAGCTTCATGAAACAGCGTTGGCACATCTCTTGCTGACACACTGATGTGCCTTATGTGCAGCACCCTTTCTTCCTGCCGACATCTTCCAGCTGAAGGGCACTCTCCCTCTGCCTGTCTTCTTGTGCTGTCAGCAACCTGGAACAAGCAGCACAGATCAAGACCACAACCTGATTACTGAGATCTTCCTGCCAAGGCAACTGGCCCTGCCCTTTGATCCCAATCAGCCAGGGACATTTAGGATTGTAAAAAGTGACTGGCCGGAAGACTGGGCTTCCCTAGAAGTTGGGCTAGATAAACCACACATAGAAAATGTCACAGTCATAGAAAATGAGCACAAATTTCCAGGGAACAGGGAAAGAAACTGGACACATACAAGAGGGGACAGCATGGCTTAGTAGTCAGAGCACCAAACAGGGGTGAGTGATCTATGCTTTATTCCCAAGCTCCCATGCTAATGACAGAATCCTGGGCTGTTCATTTCACCTCTCTGGGCCATCTTGGGCAGCAGTAGCATACTAAAGCACGCTGAAGGCACATGCTGTAGGAGACATGATTTACCTAGCTTGGAAGTAAATTATCATAGTTAATGAACAGTTGAGTCCTGCTGTGAACTTAACAGAGATGATGCAGCAGGTGAAAGGATAAAAGAAAACAAAAGGTTAATTTCTTGCAAGATTTCAAAGAGCTTTTTCAAAACTGCTTGCTTTTTTTTTAAAACTAAAAATCTTAGAGCAAACTTCTTTCAGTCTTACAAAGTGTCTTATCTCCCTATAATATTGCTACCAAAATATCACATTCTTAATAAGATAAAGAAGAAAAAAACCTTAGAAATGCATGCAGACTTCAAACTGAAAATGCCTATTTAAAATCTGGCATACTACACAAGGGTTTTGTGATAAAGTATTCAAATTGAATTCCCAGTCTTTCAACAGTCAGCTCTGCCAGACAAAGCTTTGCATGTGATGATGTCCAGTCTACACTTGGTGCTTTCCAGGCATGGAAGTCACGGACCTGGAGTCAGGGGGAAGACCACATTGCTCCATGTATTTTTTATGACGTGTCTGGCAACATCCTCTTCTTGCCCGCTCCCCAGGAGAGCGCACACCACTCGGCAACAGCTGGGGAAATACCCCAGGGTGACCGTTCCTGTTCACTGACCTGGCCATGTGCAACATGGGCTCCATGATGTTATAGCCAGTCATCGCGCTGCACTCGTAGAAAACAGCCTTGTATTCCTGCCAGAGAGCAGAGCAAGCACCCGTGTTGGTTACCAGCTCTCCCCCAGCCCTGGGAGCTCGTCCATCCTTGCCACCAGGAGGTCTGCTGAGAGCAATTGAGGCCAGGAGGGTGGCTGTCACCACCCTGCTGGTGCACACACCCTGCTCACCAACCCAGGTAAAGGAAATGCTTTTTCAGCACTGGGGGCCCAGCCAGACTGTCCAAAAGGAAACACTGGGGGAAGAGAATAACACTGCGTTATTTGAGGAGAACAAACATCTACCCAGGGTCTTGGATTCCTTTACCTTTCTGTGGCGGAGTCCAGAAGATGGGGAACACTTCCGAAACCCTGCCTGCTGCCCCCCAGGGGCTAAGGTACCAGTGGGCATGCAGACAGAGGGAGTGAGGAAGGAGGCAGGATGATTTTGCAGAACATGCATTAGGGGAGTCTTCAAACAGGAAAACAGCCATGCATGCTCCCCTTAGAAAGACGGCGCATCACTGTAAGGAGGCATCAAGCCTCAAGAGAGATACATGAGGATGCCTCAAGGGCCACATGCTGGCCACTAGCTCATCCTCCCTGGTACCAGAGGGACTTCAGTACATGTTTACATTGGACAGATGGGGTGGAAGGGGAGAGGGAATGTACCATACTGGGAAATGGCTCCAAGAAAGGTTTCCTGCCAGCCAGGCTGTCCTGCTCACAGCAGAAGGGAGGCTGTAGAGCAGGTCAAGCAGCAGAGCACATAGTCACACCTTTGCCAGCCTTTCCCCTTCCATCCTGGGCACAATCCGGGTGTCTCTCTGCACAGCATCCGTTTTATTTCCAAGTAGAAAGACCACAGCTCCATCCTCGATACCTTCCTGTGAAAGAGACAGACTGAAGCACCCCAGAGACTCAACTGAGGGAGAGAACTATCTTGGAGCTGAGCCTGTTCCAGCTCATGCAAACAAGACCTGCAGTGGCAGCAGGATCGGGCTCATTAAAGGACCATTCCTCAAATAGCCCCAGGGATTTGTGGAAGGAAGCTTAAACTATGGGAATGTATTTCAAGTATTTGGTATGTACTGCTGGGATGCTGAGAGAGGGGAGACAGGACGTAAGTTCCTTTCTGGAAAACAACAACTCTAAAGAAAAGCAGTTTTTCCCATAGGCTTTTGGGACTTTAAGTTCAGGCAGAGCTTCTTAATAAGTTCAGTAAGTTTTGTATGTACATGTGGTGCTATTTGTCTCATGTGCTGTCCTAAACTCAAGGATCCCTTGCTGAAAATCCACTGGCCAAGCAAGCTGAACAACCTACAACTCTTGTATAGGGTCTCTGCAGGAACTGCTATTCCTAGGCGATTCCTGGAGCCCATTACCTTTGATAAAACTCTCTAGTTCCACTGGCTCCCTAGAACATCATCAGACGGCAGAACAGGGCTTGAAGTTGTTTCCAAACTTGACTGCCCTGGATGACTTACAGTACCTGAGCAGCTTTGAAGCAAGATAAATACAGAGATCGGGAAAGGAAGAGAGATTACAAAAAGTTACAGATTTTGGGTGTTTTGATTTTCTGTGTGCTCCTGAAAGGAGTCTGATTTTCAGAAGCTGGTTAGTTTTGAAAATCTTAACCTTTGATCTTTTAGAGTCCAAACAAATTGCTAAGTCATTGTTGGGATTTCCCCCCAGCCCCCAAGCAGGCCTCTGAAAGTTAATAATATTAGAAACTTCCAACTTATGCTTATTCATTTTACTTAGATCTTGGGTTTTGAGACTCAGCACAGTCAAAACAAAATCAACCTTGACAATTTTCCTTTAGCTCTGAGCCACCTACACACAACTTATTTGAATTATACAGATGGGTATTTTTGTCTGCCCAGGCAGATACAAGCCCGAGATGACTGCTTTTATTAAGAGTTTGGAAATAAAAAGCAGGGGTGGAAGACTACAGCATTAATACACAGTCACCAAATTAAAAAAAAAAAAAAAAAAAAAGGAAAAATCAACCCTGAAAGTTGAAGCAAATGAAGGAGAAAAATAAGCTATTACTGATATTTCAGTCTCATCTAGATATCCATCTCAAAGCAGAGTTAGGATGTGATCATGCAAAGCACTGTGCATGCATGCTGCAGGTCTGAGCCTAAATGCATCTGGGCCTTCTCCGTTCCTGTGCATAGGCTGGACACCAGGACATCTCTTTACCTGAGTATGGATCTGACATGACTACATTTAGGAGACGCTGCCAATGCACATGGGCTGCTTTCAAACACACACTATTGTTTTGGCCAGTCCCACCACCTTCTGCTGTAGAAACAGTACTCCCTCATTTACTGGACTATCACTGGCTTTGGTATCTTCAACAAGATGACCCTGGTCCCAGACTGACTACCACAGGCAGTACATCTGCTTTGATAATTCATCATCTCAAGGTCAATAGGACCACTTGGGGCATCGGAGAACATCACTCCCAGACATATTGTTGGAGCTGGTCTGGAGCAAGACAGCAGCAGCACCACCAGCATTAGAGAGCCAAGGCCCTGCTCTCACCTGGACACTGCTCATCCAGTTCCGCACTGCCATGAAGGAGCACTCGGCCGTAATGTCGTACATCACCAGAATCCCATCTGCCTTCCGGAAATACTGCTTGGTAATGCTCCGAAACCTGAGCCCAAACAAAACCAAAGGCACCCTTAGAACCAGGGCTGTGTAATTAATGACAAGAAACAGGATAGGACTGGCTGTCTTTTAGTGCAGGCTCTCTGCAAGGCCTGGCAGACCCTGTGTGTGAGACCCCAGGGACCCTGGGGCTGGTGTGTACAGACTGGTGACAGACAGCCCAGATCCTTGCATCTTTGAGTCAGGCTGGGCAGTCATGGGTAAAGCAGAAGTCTTTCCAAATGCATGGTGCTGAGAAAGCAGGAAGGAGGACCTTTTGCAGGTCAGAAGGAAAGAAACAGAAGAATCTCTTTAGGTAGGACAGGAAGAGGTAATTGCCTATAGAAAGGGAAATGGATGGAGAAAAAAAAAAAGACCTTTCTCTGGAGCCTGGAAGAATCTGCAGACTAAGCTGTACCACACTATAAACTAGATGTGCATAATGTGTGCCTCGGTACTGCCAAAACAGCAATTAAGATCTCAGCATCAATACAGTCTGTTTCCAGATTTAAGTCTATAAAGTAATGCCATCGTACTTAGAATCAGCAGTTAGACACAATTTCCAGGAGAAGTTCCTCCCAGACATCTACTTTGTTCTGTGGGTACCCATTAGAACCACAGACTTGTATTTTGGGAATAAATACAAAAAACCAGAAACAACCCACCAAAAAAAATCCCCCCCACAAAAAACCCCAAACCTTAAAATCTGTAAGCAGTTTGTGACAGGGCCATGTTATAACCACACTGATTGCAAACTGGTGGGAATAAATGCAATGCAAGTACTGAGATCTTACTGAAAAGCTCTGTATTTCAGTCCTGAATGGGATAACAAGCTATCCCATTCTATTAAGAGCCAAGAATACCTGCAGCAAGTAGTAACCCTCCTCAACTCTTCAGATGATTACCTGAAGCCTGTTCTTTCTCACTACAATAACGTTCTGGCAACTACCCAACTGAGAAAGCACAGGCTCTATCTTTGGCAGCCAAGGTACACCTCTTGAACTACAGGACGGGCTAGGTGCTCTAGAAGAAACATCAAATGTAGCATGCAGTGGTCCTAGGGAAGTCACCAAAGAGTTCTCCTTGCACTCTCCAAGGGGTTCCTCTATCAATCACTTCCATAGGATATTCACAGTTGGACATTTCCAGTTAGAAGTAATCGGTATTTCTCTAGAAGTAAGAAAGCCTTTTGCTTCTTCTGAGGTCTCCTACTCAGTATCAGCATTGAACCAAGTTCTCTCTTGCAAGTACATGTCTAAGACCTGCTAATGATGCAGAGGCCTACATTAAAGGTCCTTCTGCAGGGGCAATATCTTGAATTTTGCCTCTGATGCATTCTGGCCTCAGTAAAATGTCACATTTCATGTCATAAAACCTCCCCTCACTGCTCAGCTTCACAGCACTGAAATAACCATGTTATTTCAAAAATAATTTCTTCAGCATGAAGCTTGATGTTGGAAGAAATAATTTGCTTTTCAACAGATACTCCTACTTAGTACATTCCCACCAGGTCTGCATGGTCTAGCTGACTGAGCTAGATAGCATCATTACTCTGTTGGCACAGGTTAAGGTCATAATATTCCCATGACCTCAGCTGGCTCCTAAAGGCCTGCCCACATAACAAATTTAGCCCAAAATACCCAGTACTTATTTTTGCCAGGCTCTTCAATGAGGTTTAATGGCCCCCTTGAAATAGCTTTTCATCTTCAGCCAAAATAAAATGTAATTTACATGAAGGTGGTGGTGAGCCTTCATCTCTGGTAGCAGATGAGGGTCAAGTGTGCCCTTCACTGCTTTGTTCTTTACTACTCTGATCCCCACCAACAGTGCTGGTAACATCCAGTGATGGCCTGTGCTTTTGAAACTAGAGGCCTTCAAATGGGGAACCTGTATTCAGTGTCACAAAAAGCCATGCTGTCCCTCCACCAAGGAGGAGCAATCTTCCACCAGTCTTTCAGCAGAAGGGACAGTTAAAGGTGCCAATGACCTCACTGACAGAGTACAGCAGGGTAGTTCAAATCACCTTCCACAGAGGTCAAGCTGGCTTTGTCTGAATCAGATCTGGAAAGGTTCACAAGCTTCTTTCCACCCTCTGAATAGCAAGTGGTGGTGAGCAGCTAGGGACAGCAGGAGCACACCTGAATCTGAGAATAGGATGTCTATCCAGAGCCTTCTTTTCCGTCCTAACCTGCAGCCCTTTCCCACAGCTTTTCCCAGAAACAGGCTGATGCAGAAGAGCTTTGTGGGCTAGAGGGCTTTGAACCCCACACCATACAGTGATTTACAATAGACTGCCTGAAGCCACAAGCACGCAGGTCAGACATATGGAAAACTACTTTTCCATCAGTCCTCAGAGCAATCTCCCCAGGCCCTAGAAGCTACAGCTTCTAGAAATCTCGAAATAGACCTTTGCTGCAGGTTCAGCACTGGAATATCTGCTGCAACCTCTCTGGTATTTCTCAAGCTAACAATTTTCCCAGAGACAGAAAAAGTGCATGCACTCTTTCCTCCTGTTTCCTACACCAAGCCTGGCAGTAGGGCAGCCTCCCAGAAATTGCTTACCTTTCTTGTCCAGCTGTATCCCACAGCTGTAAGGCAACCTGGGTATTATCCACCACCAGGCTCTTCACCTGGTAATCGATACCTGCCAAGGAGATAGCAAGTATCACAAGATAGGATGGGGAGAGAGCAGCTTACCATTGCGATGTCCAAGCTCAATGCTATTTAGTTCAGGAAATTGCAAGATTTAATTGAAACTGGGAAAGGGATCACCTTTACCTTTAGGTGGGCTAAAGTACAGGCAAAACACATGTGTCCAGGCTGACCTTCCCACCCTTCTTAGCCAGATGAGTCAGGAACACTATTACTTACCAATGGTTGCATTGAGCTCAGCCAAGAACCTGTCATAGCAGAAACGGTGGATGAAGGAACTCTTCCCAACACCAGAATTCCCTACAAACACCACTTTAAAGATGCGGTCTGGGGAACAGCTGGCTGGTTCCCGTGCCTGGAACTACAATGGAAGAAAGGGATGCAGTTTTGAAAAGCCCGGCTGCAGCCTGTGCTTTGATTTAGGCACTGGACCGCTGCACTACAAACCTATGGAGCTGGAGCTAGATGGGAAGAGAGTCAGAAACCCTCAGAGTCCCTGGCAGCTTGTGTCTGAGGAACGACCCAAGTAATTCGACTCACCCTGGTTTCGGTGCCAACAGGCTGTTCTCTGGGAGGCAAGGGAGCATCCTCTAAGCCATCTGCATTTTTTCTACAGTCAGCATCACCCTTCAAAGTCATCTTCAACCACTCAACATCTGCTGCCAATGACCATCTCTCCTTGTCTCTGCTCTTCTCTCCAAAGTTTGTGCTGTCTCCTTCTGTCCTCAGCCACGTCCTGTTGCCTGAGAAGTATTTACAGTTCTTTCTGTTGGGTTCTTCCACTGCCACATCCACCGGGAAGGTGAAAGGAAGATCTTCAGAGGCCAGTTGTCTGTATTAAAGCCCACAGGCACCACAATAGGGTGGGAGGGGAGGGGACGAGGGGGAAGAGGAGAAGGTTGCAAATTCCCAAAACAACCAATGCAATCCAATTAGTGCATATGGAGTGGCTGCAGGAACTCTACTTCATACATACACTCCCCATACTTCCTTGACTAAGGCATCAACAGCACCCCTAGGGCACCCACAGCTCACCTGAGCTGTGCTGCACTCATATATTTTATTAATTTTAATAAAAATTCCCAGCTTCTGGATTTTTCAAGCTTCCTTTGCCTCCCACTTCTCCCAGCACTGAAAGGTGGCAAAAGGAAAAACATTTTTTTCTTTTTTAAAGAAGCAACAACACCTCCTCTACTTTTTGTATCCATTGCAACACAAAAAGAACTAACAAAGCGTTTGAGGTTAGTGAAAAGGGCTTTGCCTGCAGGCGGAAGGGCGAGGGCCGGGTGGCCACCCCTGGGAGGCCGCATGCAGTGTGCACACATGGTACTGCCCTCTGCTGAAGGCACGCAGCCATGCTCCGGGAAACCGGCCCTTCACTCCCAAACCCTGCTGCAGCAGAGTCCTGCTGAGTTCAGGCGGCAGAAGCCTGCCACAGGTGAGCAAATTGCAGTGAACATGCAGTTGTTCGCTGCCTGGCGCTGGCTCTGCTCTGGCCTGTATCCACACCTGGCCCAAGGTAAGGGAGCCTGGACACGAAAGATGTTTATCTTTTAACGCTTCCAACAACCAGCCCCACTGTGCTCTCAACAGCGAGAAATCCCCAGGACTCCTGCCCAAGCTGTGGCAGTGGGGAAATAGGTATTGGACTGACTGTGCAGCACAAGAGCAGGCTGAGGCACTTTGTTCCTTCACTTACCACGTCAACTCTACCCCCAGTGAACAATCTTCAGAAAAAGTGGCTAGAATAACCAATTTAAACTACTGGAATCATTGCTGAGGAGCAAGGCAGCATCTTAGCTCTGCCTTGGCTTTCCATGGTTAAAGAACAAGACAAAGGGAATGAGAAGGCTTAGAACTCAAGTGAAGGGCTTTATGTACCCTCCATTGCCTTAGTTGGCCAACAGATTGCATTTGGAAGCAAATTAGAGACCAGAGGGTACTACAGTCAGTCTCTTCAGAGGCAGCATATCCCACCTCTCCGCAACATTTTTCTCTTGCTACTGGTACAGAAATCAAGGCGACAGCTCTCTTCCCTCACTCCTATGAGTACGCCTCACCAGGACTGCAAAACTCACTTGCTGCCATACCTACACTTTTTCTGGGACAGGGAGCTCACGCTTCTGGTTGTCCTCCCTACATCTGTCCCACATGCCAGCCCAGAGCCAGGCCAGCTGGAACTGCTCCTGTAGAAAATAGTCACATCCTCCCTGGCTCAGGATCTGGGGAAAAGCCCCATCTCCCAGGGCTGGAAGGAGTCACAACAATGAGGGGCTGAGACTCAAAAGCTTCTTCAGGGAGGGAGAAAAGTGACAAACACAAAACTTTCTGAACAGTGACTCCAGATCTAATGGATTTTACTCATGTTTCTCAAGCAGTGCGATGTGACACAGCACTTGGACAGAGACAGGGCTAACAAATGCTTCTCCCCTTCTCACGTCACCCTCACTGTCAGAATTCTCTACCCGTTAAGTCTTTCTGGTGGGTTTATGCCAGCAGCAGCTAGCAGCACTTTTGCAGGAAATAGCTGGGGAAAAGGATGGGAGAACTTGGTTGTCTCATCCCATGGATAGCATATCTGCCAGTCACACAGCCATGAAAGAGCTCTGCCTCAGAGCTGTCCCTGCTCCACAGTTCACCTGGTTTTCCATCAATCCATGAGCCAAGGAGCCTGAAACTTAATTCTTAAATGCCACTAGCAGATTTGTATGTATTAAGGGTGAGTCGAAGCTTGAAGAAACTCAGCCTAGACCTATGTCTCTGGTTTGCACCAGGAGAAGCTGGGAAGCAGTGGAAACTTCTGCAGAGACCTGGTGTGCAAGGTGAGTATCTGCATAGGTGTGGAGGGAGATGAGCAGGATGAACCCACTGGGAGCTGGGCCCTCTCCTTGGGGCTTTCAGCTGCCAGAGAGAACACAAGCCTTGTGCAATTCCTGCCCTCTCCCATGCCCCGGGGATATGGGCAACGGCATAAGGTGCCAGCGGACAGGCTTTCTGCCTGGGGAGGAACTGGCACACTTGGGAGACAATCCAGTCACTTTAGCAGAACTGCCTGATTCAGCGAGAGGCAGCCTTCGTGACTTCCATCCCATGAACACTCCCATAGCTTCTGATGGCACTTAGGTCTGCTCCCCCGTTGCTTCATATAGAAGCAGCCCAGAGGAGGGCCACCCTCCCACCACCAGTAGAAATTAGCTAACAGCATCCTCAGCTTCATGCTGAGCCAACACCACCTGATGCCAAGAGGGAGCTACAGCCACAGTTGAGCTGCACCCCTACCATGCTCCCAAAAACAGCCAGCACCAAGGTGGGAGAACTTGACACAGGACACAGCTTGACTGACAGGGTACTCCAGCAGGCACAGACTGACACCACGAACACAACACAAATGCCCATCTAACCGTTTGACCGGCTTGTCGTCCAGCAGGTAACTGCCTAGCACTGACCCTTTCTTCAACAGGGGCTTTTTGCTCTGAGGTGCCTGAAAGGTGAAAAGAGAAGGGATGAAGAATGTGATTAGGACCCAGGAACCTCATTACCCCAGTTAACTACTTGCCACCTCTGCAGACCACTTCAGGGAGGCAGAGCTGGAGCCTTTGTAGTGCCACAGCATGCAGTGGTAGTGCCCTGCCAGCAGGCTTGAACAGAGGTGAGCACAGGGCTTGCCTTTCTCAGTTCAGCACATTTAACTCATGCAAGAAGGCATTACTGTTGCTGCTTTCCCCTTTGCAACAAAACCATCAAAAATGGTGGTGCTCCAAACCAAACTCCTGTTCTAGCCAGCCAGAGCTTTTGTTTCTGTGGCTTTTTTTCCCCTTGGTCTCTCAGCTGAATCTTTTTTCTTTCCCCTCCTGCCTTTCTCTTATGCTGATGTTTTGTGGGACCCACCAATTGCCCCTTCCTCAGAAGGCACTAGTACCCCTTCTCTATCAGTACTCACCCAGTGCTGGATATGCACCATAGGAAAGGAAGACCGCTCTGCAAAGGGCAATACACATGCTCTGCCTTACACTAACGTTCCTATCCATGCTTTCCTCATACTTACCTCAGACTACACGCTTCCAACAGCCAGTGTTTACCAGCTCCACAGAGAAAGAGAAAGCAGGACAACTCTTGCAATCATCTTCCCCCCACACAGCAGATTTGTCATCCCCAGCAGAGCCAAAGATGAGCAATTTGCCTGAGATCAGACAGAAAGCCTGTGGCAGAGAGAGGATTGACCTGCCAGCTCCTCCAAAGGCCATGCTAAAGTCTAACCACCCTCTCAGCCCCAAACGGACTAGGTAACTGCTCTGGCTACACACATTGAACACAAAGTGAGAGACACCGTGGCAGTGTGCCCATCACCTCAGCGCTGGGGGAAAGGGAGATGTACTCGCTCTGTAAGTCTGGAGATTTCTGACACGTCCTCACAAGTTATTTCTGGGGATAAAGATGATGAAAGAAGAGTTTGCAGCCTGCCCGATCTGCCTCTGGTAGCAGTTTTGAACTGATCAAAAACCTGCAGGCAGCTCTGGACAGGCAGGACTTTGTGCTGCCTACAGCCCAGGGGAGGACTACAAAGATTATTTCTTCACTAACCCCTGGATTATTTTAAAAGGCAAAAGATTAAGAAGCTGCTTTGCTGGCCAAAACTCCCAGAACACCTTTACCACAATGCAGTCCAACAAAAGGAGACATTCTGGACTCCGCAGAGGACCTCACCCAACTAGGAACTTTGAGGGGAAAAAAAGCCCAAATGTTTTTTACATATAAAACCAATGTTCAGGAGAAGTTTCGGCTACACAAACAATCCAGCAGGGAGAGTCTTACAAATGTGGAGCATGTATCTTCCAAGGCAAAATGACTTCCAAGTGCAGAGTGACCCTTTGGTCAACACTAGTATCAGCCTATGGTTCAGCCAACCAGTGTGGATGGAAGAGGAACCCCTGAAAGAGTTTGAGCATGTTCACTCAAGGGCATTCTCTAGACACACAGAAACAAGGAACTTGTTACAGCCCACTGGAGCCAAGTCACAACCTTCAAGTCACCTATGGAGCAAAGAGGATCCCAGGAAATGTGCTGTGTTATGACTCTACCTGTAGAGGAAACAGCCTGCGGAGTATGTACCTGGGTAAGAAAGGAGAAACAACGGGGCATGTTTTGCCATTGGTTCTGCCATGCTTTATTGGCCTGCCACGTTTGTATAACACTTGGCTTTTTGCCAGGATGGTAAAGGAACAGACACGACATCACAGCTGTACGAGACATGATGGCAAGGATTCCACAACAACAGCATGTGTACAAGCATTTTGTATGGGAAAAATTCTGGTTTATCAGTGAAATACAAATATGTGTCCAATGTAGTCAAAGTTCCAAAACACTCTTCATGACAAGTAGACATGAAATTTGTTCTGTCACATAGAGCATGCAAGCAAAACTCCATAGCCAGATGGGTCACAGGTGTGAAACTGAACCCCACAGTGGTTTGTACACAGGTCTAAATAGCCACACATTGCTATCTGTGACCTAGTCACCAGGGCAAAACAGTGCCCCATGGTGCTGTGGGGCCAGGGTCTGCCTACCCTGGCAAGATCAGAAACTCTTACGAAGAGCAAAGTATTAAGCTGGGCACTGAGAAGTGCAAAGGAGCAGTGGCTGGGTTACTGTCAGCCTCATATAGCCCAACTCAGACATGCAACCACTTCAAAATCTTTCCTATAAAAGAACCACTGTTCATCACACCTTCATTTCACAGAAATAACACAACTCCTCCCAGCACTAACACAGGGAATTAAGGCCTTGGGTTTCCTTTTAGCCAGTAAAAACATTGATAAGCTCTGGTGGAGAGTGTACCACACAATAGGGATCTCCATCAGAAAGCTGGACTCTCCTTTTTGCTGCTGCAGGGAACTACTGCTATTTTCTTGCCCCCTTGCAGTGGACAGCCTGGACAGCAGATCTTTTGCAGGTGTATGATGATAGCAGCATCTCTGTAATCCCTTGGAGTCCTGCCGCCTTGCAGACTGAAACGAGAGTGGCCAACAAGATGCCCTGGCTGATAAAGAAAAAACCTTACTCTAGTACGGGCTTCATCTGCCCAGCATGACACAGCCTTGCCAGATGAGCAATGGTGGCAGGAGGAGTTCACCCTGCTACCCATCCCCACTGTCAGCACAGGGAGAAAGCAGCTCCTCTGTACCCAGACTCTCTCTGCTCCGCTCTCTCTCTTAGGTCTACTTGCAACTGTCATGCTTCAGAGCAGCCCTCAGCAGGTCCTAGCAGATGAAAAAGAGAGGAGAATAGAGGAGGAGCCGACAAGCTTTGCATACACCGAGGTACATACCTCAGCTGTGGTCTCCATGGGCCACCCGCCCTACCCACAGGAACCTAGAAGCTGACAAAGCATTATGCATGGACATGGGAGAGCAAACTATTTTCTTTGCCTGCTTGCACTGGATTCTGCTACACAGTGACTGAGTTTACTACTTCTCCAAGAGGGAGCAGGAAGCTCTGGTGTACATACACATACTCAGCAGCTTTAAAAATTAAGAAAAACAATAAAGAAAAAAATAATCTTTCAGATTTCAGAAACACACACACAAAGGCACATACACACACATAGCCTCACCTCCATCCAAAACACTTACTGAAATTACTTTATATAGCTGCTGCTCCACTTGGAGAAGAACTCCAGCATCTCCCCCAGTAGGACATCTTGTCCCCTATCTAGGCACAATCCCTGTGTTTTCTTCCACATTCCTTTACACACCAGCCAGAAAGTCTCTCACAGCCTACCACTGCCTGTCCTCACTGCAAGACAGCCACTTCCAGATCCTGAAGTGGGGCACGGTGGCAGAGCAGGAAAAGACACATGGTGGCAGGGATGGGTCCAAATAGAGCACAGAGCAGCCTTGCCAGTGACATTTGGGAACACAAAGACTTTTTTCATTAAAAAAAAAAAAAAAAAAAAGAAGAATTATAAATAGATGACGTATTTGTACTTATCTTGGAGACTGGGAAAGACCAGAGATGGAGTTGACTGTTCCAGACGTCAGAGGCCCCCTGCTTTCTCCTAGCCCTCTGACACAAGGCTTACTGCTACACCTCCGCCCCAGCAGAGTTCATAGGAATGGGGGGCTGCCCCAGAGGAACATCTGCAAACATCTGCTACAAACTCAAGGGGTCACAGAAACTCTAAAACCTCCCTGTGCTACTCTACCCCCAGTCAGCTGGCAGCACATCTGGGAATCCATCGTCTTCTTCACCACCCAGGTCCACGGGTGCATCCAGCTTCACTCCCCTCCTTGCATATGCCCAGTGCTGTTACAACACACACACCTCATGTGTGCAGCAGGCAGCACCCACTGCAGCCCTGCACGGGGCTGTGTGACAGTCATGAGCTAATACACCTTGGGTTAAACCCGGGCAGTTTGCAAGAGCAACCTGCAGAGCTTGTCCCCAGCACCAGCAGAGAGGTGCTGTGAAGTCTGTATTAAGCACCACACCAGGCCTCCTGAGCTCAGGTCATTGTCCCCCGTGGAAGTGACAGGCCCCCGAGTGGCGAAAGCAACAGCAGCAGATGAAAGGAGGGTGGTTGGGAATTAGGGTTTTCTTTCTTAGACTAACCAGCTTCTTGGCTTCAAAAGCATCTCGCTCATCTCGAAGTTTCTTGTTCATCTCTCTGCTCCAGAGGAAGACACAGGAGAGATACAATGAAGCACTGATCAGCAATGGAGTAAAGACCAACATTTGAAAGCAAGAACAGAAAGGAAGCTTGGGAAACAAATACAGATGTTATTTACTGCTTGATATACTGGGTTTTCCATGTATCTTAGCTCGGTTAATGGGCTCCACATGGTCCCTTAGCCATCAGGAAAGACTAATTTTCTCCAGTGGAGGGATTACTTGGTGAAATAACACAGCCTGTATTATGCCAGAGCTGGCCAGTCTGTGCAACTCTGTCTGGACCTAGAAAAACAAGCAGTGTCTGAGCACTGCTTGAATACACTCCCATAGCTTGCTTTGGGAGAAACAATGACAGTGCTGAAACTTCAGCCCCTTACATGTGCAAGGGCTCAGCATTTTCCCCCAGCCCTGTTCTTACCTAAGGAGCTCCAGCTGCCGAAGGAGGCTTTGTTTCTCTTTCTGCATGTTCTTGGAGACTCTAAACACATCCCTGGAACGAACAAGATTATAAAAGGGGAAGTAAGAAAACGGGAGAGAAAATACAAAGATCTTTTTCTCAGGGACACTCCTGGTATTCTTGAAGATAATGGCCTGCCCTATGCTAGGAGGATTCAGAGGAAGCAGCACTGCCATGGAAGCTGGGATGGCTGGGTTCTATGCCAGCTTTCCCGTTCTCCTGCTTTCACACTCCGGTTTCCTCAGCTGCTGGAGATGGGAAGGATGCTTACTACCATCTGGATCTGAAACATCCCAATGTTTTAGCTACACATTATTAGATTAAGCCCAGAAACACGAACAGGAGTGATGAGAAGAGGATCTGCAGGAACTTTACGGAGGCAATAACGAACTAGAAAATACATGGAGGAGAAGCCTCCTTTAGTCTGATGATCGTTTGTATTTTTTACAGTGCTTTACTAGCCAAATAGCAATAAACATATTCATCTCCCACTATAGGGAGGTAGGAGGTAGCACTATCACTCGCTCTTGAGGCCCATAAGTCCACGGAGATGTTACTACTTTTCCTCAAGAAGAAACAGGCAATCCTCTGATGAGGCCAAAGTTTCTAATTAGAGATCCTTATTCTTTAACTACTTGCCCACCCTGCCTTCTTTGCCTGAATTCCTGCCCTGACACCCCCTTCCCTGCCCATTCTCACCTGTCCTTCTGCTCTTGCTCAAGCTGAGCCTCTTTCTGGAGCTTCTGTAATTGCCCCTTCACTGCCTCCAGCTCCCATTTGCTTTTCTCCAGCTCTTCCAGCAGGTTTTCATTCAGGTGCCGGAGCCTTTCATTCTGTACACGGGTCTCCAGCTGCTCCGAGTTCAGAGACTGCAGCTGATGTTCCAGCTGCAATGGGGGGAGGGCTGTTAAACACCGGGGTTTTTGCTACCATCATGCCTGAAAAGCAGAATGTAAGCAACGAGGCAGAAGGGAGGTAAACACAATTTAGTTCTACAGGACCACCAGTGGCATCGAGAAGGTGAGTTGGAAGCAATTATTTCTCATCATGCCAGCCGTGGGGAGCAAGCAATGCAATTATTAGGCATAGCAGAGGAAGCACTTCAGGCAGCATGAGGAGCTTCTCCTGTCAGGCATTGTAGAAATCAGAGTGCAAATAAGGGTCAAAGGAAAACAGGGAAAATTTGGGTGGAAGAAGGGGTGTATCCATCAGGGCTTATTAAGCACAGCTGCTGAAATGCATCTCTAGTTTGGGGCCTTCCTGAGCCATGGCAGCTGAAAGAGTGCTAGGTGTAGCTCACAGTACACCTGGAAAGTCAAGTGACTGAGTGTCCTTTCCCACTGCTGGGGACAGGACCTTGGGCTAGAGATATTGTTTAAATGCCATTGAGGCACAGCTACAGTCTAGGCAGCACAAGACCCCAGCACAACTAACAAGCCTGATTTGGGAAGTTCAAAGCCTGTTGTTATGTACTCAACCAGTGATGTGATTCCTCACAAATGACTGACATAGTAGTCAAACCCATCCATCTCATATGACAAGTGGGGCATCACAAGAAGTATCATACTGGCAATTCAGCCACACCAGCTAACCAGGGCCATCTGCTGAAGCTGGCGCTACCCAGAAATGGTGGTACCCATCCAAGAATGTACAGAGCCAAAATAAAATTAGACAGTCCATGCTTACGAACAGAGAGAAGCACCAGGCACCAGTTCTGATCAGTGTAGTAGGTGGCAGAGTCAGCCTCCACATTTATACCTCCAGCTTGCCTTTTCTCTCAGTGTACTGTCTCCCCATCTCAAAGGGAAAGTAAAGCAGCACACTGTAGCAAAAAATAAAGTGCTTTTTTCTTGCTACCCTGCTCTCTGACAGCACACAGATACAGCGGTTGTGAGCGGGAGTGGACAGAGCTGACCTTTTCTAGGCTCCTTGAAACACAAGCCCCGCATCTCTCCCCACTGAGGCTACAAGCATAAGTCACACCCATCTTTGCCTGAAGACTTCCAGTCCTTTGGACATTAGGGAAAATTTGAGCATGACCGCATATGATGGGCAGTGAAGTTGAGACTAAGAAACAGTCACCGCCGCACAAAGCCTTTGGATGTCTCAATAAGCCAGGGGACAGGTTTTAAGTAAAGCACACCTGCTCCTCCCCAAGAAATCTCTATTACACACAAGACTCCCGTTTATACTGTCTTGGAAGCGATACTGTGGTGTAGCACGATCACAGTACTGGTCTTACGCCACAAGAGGGACCTGATTAGCCGCATAGCTTAGTACAAGTCTCAGAGTTAAGAGAATCAGAAATGACCATTCGAGTAATACTAAGCATCCGTGTAGCCCAGTACTCTGCCTTGACCCATAGCAAGAAGAGGTGCTACCAGGAAGAGCATGCCGATGACCCATTCCTCCTGATACACCCCCAGCATCCATGGTCCCTGGACTGGGGATGTTAAGAGGACACATCCATGACTATTCCTTCTTTTAATGAATACTTATGAGCCTGTTTTCCATTTTTTTGTCCAAACTTTTTTAAATGCTGACACTGCCTGCCTCCTGTGGAAAAAAAAATCTATCACTAATCTCTCTGTAACGAAGTATGTTCTTCTAAATCAAATTCATATTGGTCTGAGTGTCCCTAACCTCCCCTATTGCAGGATTTAGGGAGTAACAGTTCTATGTGGACCTTATCCATCACTTTCCAAGTCCATAAAGTTTCACTCATATCTTTCTCCACTCTCCTCCTCTTCAAAATCAAGTCTAAGCTTTCCTATTTTCTCTTCCTTATGCAGATGCCCATTTCCTAATTCATGTTAGTTCTCTGTACCTTCATACTCAAGAAGGACGCAATGGAGCTAGAGGAAACTAGAAATGCATATACCAATTGAGGCACATCAAGGGTGTAGGCAGCAGGAAAATTCTGGCCTCTATCTTATTCTCACTATCCTTCCTGATGGCACTTAAGTTTTGCTGTTTTTTCCAGCTGCTGCACAGTGAGTTGATGATTTCAGAGAAGTGCTGTTTCATCCACATCACAGCTAAGCATCCAACTTGGATACCTCCAGTCACCAGCATCTTACAAGTACCTCCCATGACTTGTTTTTGTGGGGCTCATGTCTCAGTTCTTCAGATGAAAAGGAAAAAGACCTCCAGAATGGACCATCCCATACAAGTATCCATGCCAGGGATGGATAAAGGGAAGTTTCTGCTTTGATCTTCTCTGTGATTGGTTAATCAGTATGTCATTAGGCGCTGGAATGCAAACATATGGTATATACAGCTCTAAGCACCACAGAACTGTTCACTCTGGTTTATTCTGGAGCAGCCAGAAAACACAAACTAGAGAAATTTGGCTCTTGTATGTCCATACACAACTTTCTTACGCACCACAAAAGGCTCCAAACTCTTAACTTCCAAATTTTTAGCCCTGTCTTCCTTGCCAAATGGTTTTTGTACAACTGATAGGATGATCATGCCAAGAGGAAACAAAGCAGATAAGAAAATGCATGATCAAAACATTCACAGTAAGACATTACAACAGAGAACAAACCAATCACTTGACAAACCACTTCAGCTCCTTCTTCAGAGACAGAGAGAACTAGACTAGCTAGCAGCGGATTAGCTAGTACAAACCCTCAGCAGATGAAAACCATTCTCAGCCACAAAAGGCCTTAGCTGGAAGATAGTAGAAGGGGATGTGCTTCTTTAGAAAGGATTTGGGTCTTGTTACCTTCTTCTGGCGGTAGAGGATTTTCTCCAGCTCCTGCTCTTTGCTGCGCAGCTCCTTCTGGAGCAGGTTACTCCTGTCGTGTCTCAGTGCTTCCTGCACAGATAAAGATACACAGCTGTGCATACAACAACCAGCACAGTAAGAGCTGTTCCTTGGCCAGAAAAGCCACCATCTCTGCTTCAGAACAGAGAAAGTTTGACTTCAGCCAAGAGAGATGAGGTACCTGGCAGATCAGTCTCTCCCTTTCTGCTTTGATCTGTTGCTCCATTTCTTCATAAAGGCACCTGACTTCTCGGTCATGGTCTGTCTCCTTCCTACAAAAGATTCGGTGCACACAGGTCAGGAGACAGAAGAGAGAAAGAGGAGAGGAGGGTGGAAACAGATTCCCACTAACAGCTGTGTAGCATTGAGTAGGATTTCAACCAGACCAAATGTTATGGGTGAACACTGTTGCAAAACAAACCTGTCGGGATCAGATCAAGATAAAGAGTCATTTTATTACAGCAAGAAAAATCTCTGTGTCCTCTAACCCAGCCTCAACTTGCATTTGACGCAGCATCCAAGCATCAGCTGGTTCCTGACAGCAAATGGTCATGATGTTCTCCTTACCGCTTCAGTGCCTGTTCCATAGACTCCTTCTCGTGATTCACCTCCCTTATGTACGATGAAACACGCAACAGAAACTCTTCAAAATTGGACAAGAGCTCTGGACGCTCTTTTCTTAGCCGAGCCCAGAGCTCCCGAATCTCTTGCGGACTGGAGCAAGCATGTGGGAGAGAAGGAAAGCAAATGAGTTTGGGTCATCTTATGGACTGTTATTCCAACTCCAACAAGACAGACAAACTGCTCTTCTCCTGTGACAACCTCCATTACATCATCATAGCAAAGAGGGAAGTTGGACAGTGACGGAGCATGCATGTGAAGTGAGATCTACTTCAAGGTGAAAATAAAGGAAGTTATCTGAAAGACTAGGAAGAAAGAAATCTAGGAAGCAAACCTGGAATTATTATTTTTCTAAGCATTCAGCAATAACATATTTGGTGTGTAAACCAAGACTTGGAGAAGAACACTCAGCAAATTTGCTGTGAGCTATGGTCAAGCAGCAAAATGTTATAACTCAGGGATTTTAGCACATGTCACATTCGTGTTTTTTCTCAGGACTGCATTTATTTATTTTACAGGTATGGAAACTGAGGCACAAAAAAAAAAAGAAGCAAATTTTCCTAGGTGTCTCATCAGGATAATGATGGAGAAAGCCATGGAAACCCAAAGTCTTCTTTTCTGAACCTGAATTAACAATGCTATTTTGGCAATTAATTTATTGCAACTTGAACACAGCACTTACAAACTTACTCTTTCCTAAAGAGTCCTATAAGCCTGCAGACATCACTTCATGCTTCTTTTTAGGGAAGAGCTTATTTACTTATTTGTTTATTAAATCCATTAAGTACGCTGGAGGAACTGAAATATATCTTGAAACATACAGAATAATTCTACCTATAGATACTTTTCTTTGTCTAGGTGTCTCCCTTAATATTTTCTGTGAAAAAGCAAGCAAAAATCTCAACCAAAAAGCTGTTGATGCCCCCTGCCACCATTGCATGATAGCCTCCTTTTTCTGTCCCAAATTGAAACAGTTACTAGCACTTCATCAAAACTTCATGTTTTAGATAAAAGAACATTTTGAGTCCTGTTAATAAACAAAACCATTTATTTCTAGCAAAACCAGTGAAGATAGTTCAGATTCCTGCTCTGACCCCAATTAGCTTCTGTTTTATATTACTTCTTTACAACAGCTGGCTTGGCACAAAGGCATGACATGAAGTAGCTACTGAACTCATTGCATAAAATTGCCAGTAAGTGGTCCAAATAAAACACAGGATAATTCCACTCTAAGACTTGATGCTTCTCAAAGCAGAGTTATAAACAGCAGAAACTGTTTCTCCAGAACAGTAACATGACCTTTCACAGTGTCATCTCATTATTTGAGGCATAGCAGCTTTACAGAAGTTTTCAGGACAGAAGCTGTTTAGCATTAACAGAAGCATGCAGATGCTTTGCATCACACTGCAAACGAGACAAAAACTAAAATCTGTTTTGTGACAGATGCCGCTCTGAAAGCAGCAAACTCCTCCACTCTCAGCTTCTGTCTCCAGTCCTGTCTACCTCCTGCCCCCACCTGGGCTGCTCCCTGCAAACTGACAACACTGTCAGACTACGATGTCTGAAACAAAGGGCTGCCACAGATGCATTTGGGCATCCCAGCTCCAGCAGATGTGCATCAGTAAGAACCAGGTATACTTCACTAGGGAAAGCCCTAAAAAAAGGCTGGATGACACTGGGGCCAGAAGGCTTTACTGGGGCCACATGCAAGAGCATTAATATCGAGTTCCAGGGCTCAGGTGAGCATCCGTTGCCCGGTTTAGCCTTCCACACTCTCCAAGATCAATCCAGTCACAAGCAGCACCTTGAGCATAGATCCCTGACAGAGACTTTTAGAAGTAAGATTGTCTGAACACATATGAACAATCACACACCATTTTGCAACAGACAGCACACTCATCCTCCTTACCTTGTCTAACCCTCACACACTTCTTTTCATATGCTGCGTGCAGATGGGCTTCCATGCTGTTGTTACATTTTACAGCTGTGGTATGAACCCTAGTCTGGGAAACTCTGCAAAAAGCACTGCACTAAAAGTAACTGGTAGCTGATGAGAAAACCCAGATTTCACTGCATTTGTTACCAAGCGTATGAAAACCCAAAACAGCAGAAATCCCAAGCAGTGCTTCAGAGAGCAATGAGCTCAGTTCACCTCTTTGGTCTTCGCTGGTACTTTGAAGTTTTAGTATTGCAAGATCAAAACATGTTAGAAGTGATGCCATGTGACTCCTCTACTTACTCTTCAAACATCTGGACTGCTCCAAGCTGCTCCATCATGGAACAGAATCGTTTCTCTTCATCATCTGCTGGGTCCAAGTCATCTGACCAGCCTGACTCAAAGGTCTCTTCGTGGCTGGAGCGATTCATTCTCCCAGCCCCTTGACACAATTCAATCCCTATTAACTTTCCTAATGGAAGAAGGAGGGAAGAAGGGGAATAAAGAAAGTCAAATTGGATGTCATTTAATAAGCTGCTATTTAAATGGCAGCCCGATAGAGCTCCCTGAGAAGCTGCCTGCACACTGCTGGTGTAGAATACAGCTCTTGGTCAGTAAAGAGCGTCTGTTCTGACATCCTGAGTGATGTCCAGTCTGCACTGCTGGGACTGAAACTGGCTCCAAGCACAGCAACAGGCTGTTAAGGCTCTGCTCACATCTGTGTGAAGATGATCTACCACCTTTGGATTCTCAGCATGTGAAGCATGCAGCATTAGGTCACCTTACTTCCGTGGAGCAGCACTGAGGGTTCAGTTGTTAATGATCCCACAAGCTGCTTCTGGGACTGCAAGCCCAGCACTGAATAACATGCCTGAGTTCCCCAGCTTAAAAAAGTGAGGAGATCATTACCCTTCCCTTCTCATGTGCTACATCTGTTCTGATTCAAGTGCTACAAGACAAGGACTGCCTCTTGCTAGGATCGTGTATAGTGTCTGAACAAAATGAACTTCCTTCCTGCGCACTCCCTCCTGCCCCGTCCCGCATATGGATGGCTTCCAGCTATCTGGATCCTGTTTCGTGCTGAGACACTAATGCCATGAGAACTTCATGCTATGCAAGGCACGTGACAAATACTGGTGCTGGGAACAAATTCTTCTCAAAGAAACAAATCAAGCAATCCTACTCAAACTGGAGGCCCCCTTCCTGTATTTAGAGGTCAGACCTCCATCAGCAGCTACTCTTCCTTTCCAAAACATACTTGCAGAAATGACATCCCAAGTACAATGCCAGGAGCCAAGGATGTTCAGAGCACAGATGAGAACATGAAGCTGCTCTAAGGGGAAAAATATCCACTATTTGTGTACCTCAAAGTGTAATTTATATATATAGTTTATTAAGGGTGATCTTGCACTCTCATCCCTGCCCATGGCGGGAGGTTGGAACTAGATGAGCTTTAAGGTCCCTTCCAACCCTAATCACTCTATGGTTCTAAGCTCCATATGTCCAGAATTTAGACGCTTCTCTCCCACTCAAAATGTGCTGAAAAAAAATTGCTATTGGAGATACAGGGCCCTACTCAGCTCAGAGTAGTCCTGAGGCTCAGACAGTTAAGGAGATAGGCTAGATTAGGCACTTTTGGTGTCTGCTTTAAAGAAAGAGTCATTATGTCTCATTATCTTTTACAGCTGGGAAAAATGAGGTAGAGAATGGCCTGAAGATTATTTTGACATCCTAGAAGGATTTCAGATTGCTTTAAATTAAACAATTTAAATGTATGCTCTTTTGTCAGAAGTGCAGATGCACCTTGTAGCCTCTCAAAGTCCATGCAAGAAGCCCTCTCAAGAAACAGACTTGATTGCAGCTTCCCTTGATTTCTGCCCCCAGACACTCCAGAAGGAAGACAGAAATACATAAGCCAAATTCTTGAGTTAGGGGCAAAGTCTGAAAAGGATTCCAATGAAGCCAGACAGAGAAAAATTACCACAAATGAATGCAAAAATTAAGTGTTTTACCTAGACTGAAGCAAGTCACATGGAGCCAGGCTGCCAACACAGGTGGTACCTGACAACTGGGGGCTGACACAAAGAGAAATCTTGCCTATCTCTACCAGCAATGATGTTGAGGCAGGTACCCTCATGATGTCCATCTCTGGCTATGGCTGGGATAAATGTGTCAAAAGGTGAGATTTGGGAACACAGAGGGCCTGCTAATAGGACTCCTACTAGTATCCTTGAACAGCACTGCTACCAACTGAAGACAGTTAACAAGTGGCATATTTCTGTCACCCCTCATCCAGCAAAGATCCTTATACAGATGCACAACTGTGGATCGTACAGCCAGATACAGGCTGAAGTGTGTACCACCTCCAGTAGGAGATGTTCAGAAGCTGGCTCTACCTGGTAGGCAGGTAACAGTTGTGGAAGAAGGCAACACAAAGCCTCAGGAAGGAGGATAACAGTATTGCACACGCATCTTCTCCAATGATATTCACATAAGCATGGGGCATTGCCCTGCATAGCTGGTACAGTTTCAGCAGAACATTAAACATCATGTCACAGGTGGACATTTCCCTTCCTCTGCCCCTGCGCAGTCCTTACCTAGTCCCAAGCTGAACTCCACGGGTGTCAGGTACCCCTTATTGTTCTGTTCCAAGCTGTCAAAAACAGTCTCCAGTTGCTCAAGGGTTAGGGGGAGTTCACTCTGAAGCCGCTGCAAAGACAAAAGAATGAACAAAAGACTCAAGTCTTCCCTGTGACTAGCTCCTGTCCCTGCCATCCTCAGCTCTGGCCCACAGTGATGTGCCCTTTCAGCACTTCATCCTGGGCAGGATGCAGTAGTCTGCCAGTGCCACCGAGTGATGACGCAAATACCCACTGATACGGCAACACTTTCCATTACTGGTGATTCAAGCAGGACTGCAGAGAAGGAACTTTGGGTTATTTTCTTTGGAGGGAGCTCAACCCTCTTCTTCCCGCAATTCAGAGCCACGGCCTCCCTCTACTCCTGCCCAAAGGTGGCTGTCCCCGGAGCCTTGTCAGCCTCCTGTGACCACTGCTGCTACCAAAAGAGCTCTCTTTGGGCACATCAGGTAACAGCCCCATCTCTTTGGCCAGAGAGGGAGGACAGACTTGTGGGTATCTGGATTCAGTCCCCAGCTCTTGCAGGACATCTCGTAGATCATAATCAAAATGTTCAGCCTGTAACAGAGAATTAGCTTTCTTTTGTCATCTTCTGTCTTTGGGACAATATCATTATTTCCACAACATAGTCAAGGAGCAGAGAGAGATTTTCCTTCATAATACATGTGCAGAGCACCTAATGTGAAGGGGCACCTATAAAACCTTCCAAATAACAAGATGGATAGGCTAAAACCACCTTACTGTCTGTTGAATATGCAGCTTTAGGGAAAAGCTTAATAAATATTTATTAATGTAACCACACAAAATTAGGTATCACACAACCCAAACCAAAGTGAGTCAGTAATTAAACCAGCATGGGCCTGCCAAGTGTTTATTATAGATGGAGGGAGAGATGGAACAGGAGAAAAACAAACCACATGTAACCTTCCTGATAAATCATTAAAACAAACCTAAGAAAGAACTATAGAGATTCTGTTAACAAATACTGTTTTTAACAGGAACCAGCAAAACATTCTAGACCAAAGTTACAGTTCAGGCCTAAAGTGAGTTTTTGAGTTCAGCCTTTAGCTATGATTAAGACAAAAAAGTTATACAGCTTTTCTGTTAAGAGGTTGGTGGTTTTTTTCCCCCTTGTTGATTGTGGGGGGTCCTAGGGAGGTTGTTGTTTTGGTTTTTCAAATTAAAGCAAAGGTTTCCCCTCCCCGGATCTCCCATTCACTGCTTGCTTAATGTTCATAGGAACTGTTGCAATTTTTTAAATTTTATGCATTCCTTAAAAATTTGGAACTGCAGTCCCACTTGTCCCAGGAACTCCCTGGAGGTCCAAGGCCCTCCTGGGATTTTTGGCTCCTAGCAGCTGGCTGTGGCAGTTTTCCTCCCAGAAATCTGAATGAGAGACAGCCCACCTGCACATCCACACTTCTCAAAAGTAAAGATATGCAACATATTCTCCCCTCTTCTGCCACCCATGCCTTTACAGCTCCTCCCAGGACAGGGGAAGGACTTTTTTCCTCACCTGCATGTCCACTTTCGTGATAAAACCCTTCTCATCCTTGTCACACAGCTGGAAGAGCTCCCTTGCCTTCTCGAGCATCTCCACCTGCACATCTTCTAGTTTGCTCATCTGCCTGGAAGGAGAAGCACCAGGAGCCACTCTATCCTCCTCATCCCCTTCCTCTTCTCCTTCCCAGCGGATGTATCCCAAAAGTGCTCCACTCTGGTTCTCCATCTTCTCAAAGTCTTTTTCCCCAGGGCAAAGGCAAACAGAAGACCTGCAGGGCAGGAAAGAGAGAAACCCCAGTCAAACATGACCCTCCACTTCCACCCTATACATCATCTGGTTACATGCTTTGTTAGTTTGAAAGAACAATATTCAGCATCTGTATCTGGACTAGATGACCTTTAAAGGTCCCTTCCAAACCAAACTATTCTGTGATTCTATGATCTGTTACTGGGGGTGTGTGGAGGTTGTGTCAGGGGTACATACCATACATAGGTACACACTGTACACAACATGGATGTAACCAAGCCTACCACACAGCTGTTACCCTCCATACTGATGACCTCCAGACCATGCATGGAGCAAGGATGCTCTTTTGCCGTCTTTCCTCCTCTGGCTCAGACCTACAGGGCAGTCAGAGTTCTCTGATGGTGAAGGCCAGGTGCCAAGGGAAGGTTTCAGATGGTGCAAGAGGATGGGAGGAGAATATTAAAGCCCGCAGGGCTCTCTGCATGGGAGAAGGTAATAGTCCCACACTGGCTGAGACAGGTGCCTAGAACACCATGAGCAGGGCCTGCTCCCAGCTATTACACAGCTCCCTGAATGTCCTAACCAGGATGTTTCTCTCTGGTCTTGGTTCCTCTGGCAATAACACCACCTTTGAACACCAAATCTTCATCATAACTGCAAGAACCCAGAGCAGGACAAAGGCAAATAGGAGAAAGATCTGTGCAAGTGGTGGAGGAAAGAGAAGGAATGTCTCCCAGCCCTCTCCCACCCAGATCCCCTGGCTTGCCTTCTCCCTCTGACATTTTCTTGTTAACACTCCCCAGATAGAAACTTTATATCCTTTCATGTTATCACAGCACAAAGAAAGGCCAGGCAATGCCAACACTGGGAAAAATTTAATAAGCTGGGCACTCCTGCCCCCCTTACCTTCCAGCCTCTGTTTTGAGCGCTCATAAGCTGCCAAATAGAATTTTAATCTGAAATGTTCACCTTTATAGGAAGGAAACCACACAACTATGGAGAGAGATATTTCAGAGGCCAAATAAAATAATCCCCATTCTTACAAGTACCTAAACCAAAAAGCCTAGGAATGAGAGCACCCCTTTAAGCACAGCACTGTCATTGAGAAGACGCGTACAACACTTCCCTGCCCCAATCCACCTTCCAACTTACTGAGGCCACGTAACACCCTCCAGACAGCTTTTCTTCAGCAACACCACCACATTCCTTAAACCTCACTCCACTGACCGCTTTAGACTTCTCCTTCTGCAGCTCTGTGTTCTGCATTGCAGGGCAGAAGTGAGCTGTGCAAGCAGGCTGAGAGCAGATTTAAACAGCGCTAGACAAAGAGGGCTTGAGAGTTGTGGGCTTGTTTTTTTTTTTAATCTCCAAGAAATTAAAAGCCACGTACAAATGCTGTGATAACAAACAAGGTAATTCTGTTTGCACTCTTAGTACAATGGGAGGATAAAGAGAATGATGGCCAGGAAGAATGTCACATGTTAGAACTATATGAAGCTGACACAAAAGGTGAAGGCAATTATGCACTATGCTATTTGACTCCGTTTATTACTGCTGGTCAGTGAGCCAGAGGGTGGTTCTGCTTCAGAGAACAAGCAGAACACTCTGCTCTCCCTTTTAAATCGGTGTTTTTTCAGGGTACCTCCGTTTACTGTCACTTGAGAAGATATTTATTTGAAACTCTGCAGAAGACTACCAATAAATGGGTATTATTATATGTTTCTAGTGAAGCAGACATCCCTGGCAAGCAAAGGACACAGAGCTGGGCCCAAGCTTTGGGGAATATTGAAAGAGGAAAGGAGGGAAGAAAGCATAAACAGCAAGAAGGCAGGGAGGGTCTCTTTTGCTCTTTTTCAAGCAAACCCTCCTACCAAGCTTTTTTTTAATGTGTTATGGAGCCACTGCAGCAAAACTTGGCAGCTAAAGCTTGATTATGTTCATTAGATGGACAGTCAGCTTGCTTCTCATGGTAAGTCTGAAAGAATCCCAGCTTACCTTTCACATTCAAGTAAAAGCTGCAAAGCTGGCCTTGAAACTAAAAATAAAACCCCAAATATCTTATGCAGCATAGATTTTACAGGTGATTACAGTGGGGAACCACATAGCCATGCTGATCATTCACTGATGAATGATGATTATTGGCTGCTACAGGCCACCTTGCTCAAGTTTTTTGCTAGACCCATTCCTTCTGCAAAGCCACAGTTGCAGCACAAGCAGCTCGTGTACCAGACAGTGAGCGCAGGAAGCAGCAAGGGAGAAAATGAAACAGGAGTTCAAAGCAAGAACCATGACAGCATTGCAGAAAACAGCCAGAATAAGTGAAAGCACAAATAGGAAATGTATTCTGAAACATCCCTCTGGCTGCCCAAGAGACACTAAGATCCCCAGAAGTAGAGATAATCTGACTTTCTTACTGTTAGCTTCATCATTTCTATTTCAAAAGCCAGAGCAGCCCACACAGTTGATGTCTCCCCAGTTCTGCTGCAGCAAACAAGCGGTTGTACAAGGAGGATGTTCTGTTCTTTCCAAGACATATTTGCAAGCTGAAATCAGACCCACTACATCCCTACCTCTAGCATCTCCTCATTTTATCAAAAGCCCAGCTGTACTGTAGCTCCCAAGTGGTGGCTAAGCTAAAAGCCTCTTAATTGGAAGAGCTGGGAGCCTGACATGGACAAGACTCTGAAAAGATTTCAATCAGATGGGAAAGACCAAGCCCATTAACTGAACGGTTGGAGGACAGAGTCACTTGTTCAAGCTGCTTCAAATGGCCTCAAGCCAGATGTGGCTCCTTCAATGGTGAGACAGCATTAGCAGAGGAACAAAACATCAAATAAGAGAGATTCCCAGTAAGCAAAACAGACTGCAGGTCTGATGGGCTTCTCTCCTAGAGGCCTTTAACGGAGAAGCTCTTCATCTCCATTCCCGTTCATAATGGCACTGCATGGTATAAATGCAGGTAAGACACAAAGCAGATCTCAGTCTAATAATCACTGTCATACCTTCCCCAGTCACTGATCATCATTGCAAACTACTGGGGAAGCAGCTTCAACAGCAAGATTCAGAGCATCACTGAAAGACAACTTTGAAAGAGGCTGAGGTCACTACAGTGCTAAAACTGTAGAATGGTACCAAAAATGAAGCCAGCAGACCTGGTTTTGGTGCAGAAAGAGCAGCTTCGGAAGA